TACTGTTTTTATACAAACACATCTATTTGTTTTGCCATTAAGAGCCTTTTCTCTTTAATACTCTATTACAATAACTGAATGTCTACAGATATATGTTGATAATTTAAAAACAAGTGGTTTTTGTTTGTTTTACTATAGGATTTACTGTGGTTAAACAGATCATGCACCCAGAATGATTTTTTTTAGCTTTGGGATACCAACAGAACCATTAAGGCTACTTAGTTTGGAATCAATTAGGAAGTTAATGATTTTTTCTTGATTCATTAGTACCAATGTACCAATGGTCCTTTAGCAATGTTGGCATATTGCTCCTTACAATTAAAGCTAAAATGCAAAGACAAAATAGCAGAAACTTCTCTCCATAAAATTTAGACAATACTGCAGCTCTAACATGCTTGTCCGCTAGCCTAGTTTTGGGACAATGGAGTCAAATATCATGACTATACTATCATCAGCAATGAAGGCAGCCTTCCACAAGCATTGCATTGGGTTCCCTCACCACAAATACATCAATCTTAATATGGAAAACTAGTTTTAAGCTAGGAAGGAAAAGATAACTATCCTTTGCACTTTGCAATCTCTAGAAAAATATTTTCTACATTGACTTAGGTTTGAAAAAAAGATTTCACCCATGTTGGTCAGTGAATGAAGATTATGTGATGAGATACAATACAAGTTTGTGAGATTAAAAAAGGGTGAACACTTTGTACTAGCTCTGTGCTATCCTTGCCCTGGGTCCTCTCTCCAAAGTTCAGCATCAATAACTACAACTAAAAAATAAGTCCTCCCAAAACCAGTTTGACTAATCAGGTTAAGAATGAGTCTTGGAAAACTTTTTGTGAATGTGGGAAACACACTTTAAAAAAAAAAATCAGCCTCAAAACTAAAGGAAGAGATTTGGGGATTGTCACAGGAGAACAAGACTCTAAAGTTGGGTCCTTTTCTTTTCTTTTTTTTTCTTTTTTCCAGGCAACTCCAACAGCTAAATTAAATCTAATTAAATCTCTCAAGTTTCCTCCCTAACTCTCAAGCTTCCTCCTTCCATTATATATTCAAGATGGACAGTATTTAATATTTATTTGCTATGTATATGTAGGGGTGTGGGTCTATACATATGTTGTACATAGTATGTTTTAGGTGTGTGTCATGTATGTGTTTCACTTTGAGAGTGGGCAACTAAATTTCATTTTTGATGTGTGCCGTTGTGGCCACAGTAAAAAAAATGACAATAAAGGTCATCTCATCTCATCTTATGGAAGTTTAACATATCACTCTTGTTTCTTAATTTATTAAACAAATTAGGATTCTTTTTTCCTTCTCTGGATTCATTTGAGTCAGATCCTGAAACACATGTTCATGGAAGCATAAACAGATTTAATGACAATTAAGTGAAGGTAGAAAAGAACTGCCAAAAGATGGGTGGAATTACAAAGCTCTTTCTAGAACTTATGCAAATAAGAATATGGAGCTGACTGAACAACTAGGCATTGCATTTGGGTTAGAGATTTTAACTTGGCTTTCAAAATTATCCATCAATAATAAGTTTAATATTCATTTAGAAGCTTCCCACCAAATGGGTGGTAGGAAACAAGTGTACAGCTGATAGACTGCACGTTGACCCCTTCTATCTTAGTCAAAGTAATTAATCTTCTAGGATCAATTGAGTCCTCTTCTTCTACAGAAATGCTATAGGATTCACATTCTAAAAAAATAAGACTGATCAATCTTATGTAAGTATGTCTTATTTCAAGGTTTTCATATGTTTGAAACTATATCAGAGCTAAATACATGAAATTACTTTTTGTGTGCTAAACATCAGTGCCAATGGCCACTGGTTTATTTATAGATGTTCTTTGATTTGTGAAGATCAAAAGTATGTGTGGGGGTTGTGGGAGTACTCAGCCATTTCTTCGCTATTCTGTAATACATCACACAGTTGGATAGGCAATATGAAATCATTTAATGGATTTGTGGTTTAGCTGATTGAACTCTTTTGGGACTTTCAGCTATACTAATCTCAACTTTGTTCTCCCTATTATTGATATCCATTACCATTTTCACTTGGCTGTATACTATGATGCATTAGAACTATCCCAAATATAATACCGTATTTTTCATGTATAAGACGACTTTCTAAACTAAAGCATGCGAATCGTCTCCGAAGTCGGGGGTCGTCTTATATACTGAGTCATCTTATACGCTGGAAAATATGGTAGTTTCCAGCGTATAAGACAACTTTCTAACCATGCAAATCATCTCCGAAGTTGGGGATCGTCTTATATGCTGAGTCATCCTATACGCCAGAAAATACGGTACTTAAAAGATTTCATACCAACAGCAATAACCTACATGTTCTTTACAAAACTTTTGAATAAAGTTTTAAAAGCTGAACAAATTCGGCATTTTGCTACAGGACTAGGGGAATTAGAAGTGGCAAATAGTGGAATCCCAGCTAAGAATGTGTAGATATCATAGGCCTCCAACTCCACTTCCAGTTGGCTAAGTCTATATTATAACCTGCTCCATTTACCCTTGAAGATGTTTTAGCATTTAAGACTTTTTTGATGGCATGTATATTTAAAACCTGAAGCTTCCAGTGTCTCCTTACACCTCTGAATTGATCACATTCTTGTGTAAATAAGGGTCTAGATCTAGAATGGGCACTATTTTAATCATTCAACAGAGCTGAGTTATCTGTGCTCCAAATTATATGTGGCATCAAAACAAAATTAAATATGATTTAGATTTCTTTAAATTATTTTAAAGGAGATAGTTTACCTACTTATTTAATGCTGTCCTTCAGTCAAATTAAGAAAGATCATTTAGTAGCATTGTTTTGGTGGGTAGTCTCCAAATTTTGGATCCATAGTCTGCATTAATGATGGAATCCTATAAGTCCAGCTTGGTCTTTTGGTCTGGTTTCTATCACTGCATGTTAAACCAATACATATATTGTTGTCATTAACTTTTTTGGAGGGTCAAATACCAAAAAGGGTGTACACAGGGGAACACACCAGGATAATTGCAATTAATAAAAGTTCAGTGGTTGGTGAATTGGATAGATTCTTCCCAGACTACCTGCAGTGAACCAAAGTAACAGCAAGGAAGAATCTCTGTGAAGTTGACTCACAAAGGGGTTGTTTTCAGTCTCACCTTTTCCCCTCAACTCAAAATTGCATCTGCAAGGGAAGATTGCATATTAGTGAAGATTAGCTACACTGTTAAACATCTAGCAGGTATTGGATACCTAGTTAAGACAACAGTGGGAAATAATTATCTAATGAGTTAAAGCAGGTAATCTGTTATCTCACCACTTGCAAGAGTAAGACAAAATAATTCGATGATGATGATGATGATGATGATGATGATGATGATGGAAGGAACCTTGGAGGTCATCTAGTCCTACTCAGGCAGGAAATCCTATACCATTTCAGTCTCTTCTTAAAAACTTCCAGTGTTGGAGCATTTACCATTTCTGGAGGCAGTTGTTCTAACTGTCAGGAAATTTCTCCTTAGTTCTAGGCTGCTTCTCTCCTTGATTAGTTTCCATCCATTGTTTCTTGTCCTGCCTTCAGGCGCTTTGGAGAATAGCTTGATTCCCTCTTCTTTGTGGCAACTCCTGAGATATTGGAATACTGCTATCAGGTCACCCCTAGTCCTTGTCTTCATTAAACTAGACATGTCCAATTCCAGCAACTGTTCCTTATATGTTTTAGCCTCCAGTCCTCTAATCATCTTTGTTGCTGTTCTCTGAGCTGGCTTGTATAAGCATCCTCTCTTCCAGGTGTTAATTTTAAAATACGACCAAGCACGGGAAAACATCAAAGGCTTTCCATAACCTATGAAATTGGGTATGGGTGGCAAATCAAGAGAAAGAACTAACATGAAGAATTGTAGCATTTTTATATCTCAGTTTATTACATAGTGGAAAGGTATGTATGAAATGTGGGATTGTAAGATAGTATTCCATAATAACAGAGAGAGTTATAGTGACTGGTTTTCCTGCCATTTGTTCTAAAAAGCATTTCATTTTCTATAAGGTTTGATGTTTGCACTTTGGAACTCCTCCTGTACAATGAAAAGTTGCTTTTTAATCAGCATGAGAGTATTGTGGGTACTCCATCACTGGAGGCTTTCAAAAAAGACTGGACAGCCATCTGTCTGAAATGGTGTAGGGTCTCAGGCTGAGCAGGGGATTGGACTAGGAGACCTCCAAGATCACTTTCAACTCTGTTATTCTATGTTCTATATTGTAAATTTATTGTATCCCATTTATGGGGAGAATGTTTTTAATGGCTTAATTCATATAAAACAGGACAAGATTGTTTGCTGCAGGTGTGTGCAAATTCTATTGATTTGAGGCTACAACGTATTTTGTATAGCTTGTCCAAGCTCCCACTTCAAGCGTGGGTGAGACTACGATTGAGTAGAAGATAAAGGGAAGAATGGACTGTTTTATATCTAGGCTAGTTTAAGGCAAATAATTTGCCTCTTAAAATCTTCCAACATTCCCTAAGATGATAAAAAGGGCTATTTTTGTTTTTCTTTTCTTTTTAACCTACCCATATTTTTTACCTATTTCTGTTATTCTGTTAGAGGACCCCAAACAATGGCTTGCTGCACAAAGCCCCTGAGTTGCCCTTTTATATATTTCAAATTTACTGGGTTTAAAGTTATTTTATGACCTGTAAAAATCCAGACAGCGACTAAATTGAATATTTTTCTTTTTTGCTGTAAAATGGTCATCCAGATATTTTGTCCCTACAATGGATGATAGTATCATATAATCTCAGTGTTTGTCACCTATATAGACATAGTCTATTCCTTTAAAATGCTAGTCTTAATTTTTAAAGTCATAAATTATTTACAGCCAGGTTAATTAAAAATCATCTCTGAGTTATTCTTTACAGAATGCCACCATTGATTGTGATGTGGGAGATTGCTACAGGTTAGAGGACTTTCTAGTACAGCCCAATTACAATATGCCATTTTCAGTGGAGGTGTTTGGTTTTTTTTTTTTTTCTTTTTAAGCATTAGGTGATTTTTCTTATTTTCTTGCAATTTTATTTTATGTACTTTAATAATGCATATAGCTTTTGCTTTCTCTTAACTTCTATTTGTGCTATTGAGAAATTTAAAATTGATGCTATTGATTTCTGCATATTTGTATGTCTCTGAAAGTTTGGTCATTAAGTGCATATAATATAAACATTTAACACAATTAATACAACTAATAAATGAATCATAAGGAAAAAACAAAAGAAAAAAGAAAAAGCAGAATAAGATAAAAGAAGTACAAGTACATACCTTGACTTATGACTGTTAATTTAGCGACCATTTAGAATTACAACGATGCTGAAAAATGTGACTTATGATTGATCCTCACACTTATGACTGTCACAGCATCACTGCAGTCACATGATCATGATCCAGGAACTTGACAAATGGCTCACCCTTATGACAGTTGCAGCATCCAGTATCCTATGATTGCAATTTGCAGCATTCTCAGATGGCTTCTGATAAACAAAATGAATGGGGAAGCTGCCAGGAAAGATCACAAATCCTGAGCACGTGATGTTTTGCTTCATGATCATGTCAAAAAAGATCATAAAATTGGGTGCAATCACATGATGACTCTCTTAATGACCACACCACTTAACAATGAATTTTTCAGTCCTAATTTTGGTTGCACATCAAGGACTACCCTTATAAAGAAATAACTTCCAATTTTCAACACAACAGATAAGAGACAAACTTAACAATTCTTTACCCCCAATAAGGTTATAAATGAATATTTCTTCTTCCTGTAACCTATTCCTTATCTATATGTAAACCCATAAATCATCAACTTTTCAGACCTGGTGTCAGCAAAAAGTTGATAAAGGGTTGCCAGAACTTTATAGAAACATACCTTTACTCCTTTCCTTTTAATTCTAACGATCTTGATCTTTAATCTGAACCGTAGGCATAAATCTGGCCAATGTTGCAGACTGAACAAAGTGCCGGGCAAAATGCAAAATTGCCAAACCCATAATATAGTAGGAATAGCACAAAGAACAAGAAGAAGCTTGATCTTTAATTCATTCAGATATTGTTGTAGGATTTGGTGTCTGTGCAATATTTCTTTTTCCTGTCTAAAAAGCTTCTTCAAGGCTTTAGCAAATGTCTTTTATAAAACCAATAAAAAGTCATTTTCAGATAATTCTTGTTGCTTATCATTTGTATTTTTCAATTACTTTTGAAAGCTTCAATCAACTTCTTTTGAATATCTCGTAGAAAGTCCTTATCTGGGTCACTGGCTTGTCATTTTTGTTTCCACGTTAGATACCTTCTCTGTCTTACAATCCATCCTAGGGTTTATTATTATTATTATTATTATTATTATTATTATTATTATTATTATTATTATATTGATCATTGCACAGTCAGCCAGATGTTAAGACTGGATTTGGCATTTTTGTCTACCTATCGAGTCCTTCCCAAGGACTGGGATAGGCAGATGTGGATGTTTGATGGTATTATAGATATCATCGTAGAATGGAAGCAGTTCCTAGTAAGGAATAATAATAATGATGATGATGATAATTATTATTATTATTATTATTGTTGTTGTTGTTGTTGTTGCTATTGTTGTTGTTGTTGTTATTATTATTATTATTCGGTAGTACTAATTTTACATCAGGCAATAGTTGTTTCAAAACTGTTATTCCTCTATTAACATCTTTGGACATAGTCTATCTATAGAAATGCACATTATTGCTGACATTGTAGCTGATACTTTCTGACACTATTATTTAGAAATCTGCTGTATTATTTCATATTTTATAACATTTTTTGTCATTTTGTAAATCCCCATATTAACAAAAACTAAATGCAAGTTTTCACATTTTTTTTCTTTTTCCTTTTCTGCCTAGAATAGTCCCCTTTACTGTCCAAAAACTGAAATCTAAATGTCCCAAATCTCTGTTAGGACTTAAGACAGATAAAGCAATTTGGTTCTCAGAAAATCTATTTGTATAATTATTTCCAGAATCTTATAATAACATTCTCAATATTCCAAATTTGCTAGGATTCTTAGTTTATTTATAACTTTCTTAGATCAAACTCTTATTTAGCTTTTTGCTGTTTATTTCCAATTCTTTCAATTTTTGATTATTATTTTTTTCTTTAATTCTCACCAGATGGCCTTTTAAACTTGTCATTCTGAAGATCTCTAAAAGCTTTATGACAGTTGAATGGGCAATTTTTGAAAATGATTGGAGGGTAAGTTTCAGTGAATCCAGTGTTCATTAAAGTGCTCTGCTGTGGTTGCGAGCATGGTGGCACATCCTTATGTCTCCTGATACACAAACTCATGGGACACTGCTGTCCTATAGTCTCCTTGCAAGGAATAGCTGTTTGGAGTACCAGTGCTAAATCTCACATCCTCTCCTTATTCAGAAAGTTTCCATAGAACTGGTCTACATGCTGGTCATTCACTTTTGGTCATGTCAACTCTACTCTTTTGGAGATATACTAGTTTGTCATACCTCCAGGGAAGTCCCTGTGTCATATTTTTGAAGAGAGGAAAATAACTATAAGAACAAAACTCTGGCCTCCAATTCACATATACTGCAAACCATAAATTATAATCCATGGTTAATTTTGAAAAGAAATTTCAAGGAGACACTTTGAGCAAGATGTTGTAAAAGGTGAGAAGGTCTTAAATTTTTCCTTGCCTGCCATTTCCATGTTACATCATAGTGAGCAAGCAGTAAACTCCAAGAGAGTTTAATTAAAAAACACTCAAAATCATTTGTTTGTGTTTACACTCTCAGGACTGGTTCATGGGTGTACATCATTTGACTCTGGCTATGTGAATTGCAAAACTCTGGCATCTGTTCTCTCAGTAGTATTTGAGATGTACTGGCTCAGTCATGCATGTATAGTGCACACACACCACATAGATACACACACACACACACACACACATAAAGAGAGAGTGTGCCAGAGAAATCATTATTGGATATCACAGATGCTGCTTGCTTCTTTTAAATAAAAGAAATACTAAGGTGTATCAAAATATAAAAGAGCTGATTTACAATTCATTAAAAATTCACATTTACTTACTGTAGCTTCCAAGAGGGCAAAATGTCATTAAACTATTTACATACTGCTTCTTACTTAACAACGCACAAGGTGTTTTATTGAAATGTAGAAGTCTACAGTAAAAACAGAAATAGTAATGATCAAAAGTCAAAAAATTAATAGCTGCAAAAGATGAAGATAACAGAGAATCATTTGCATTATGGCCTGATGTAATATAGGCCACACTCTGCAAGTTTCAATCAATCAGTTCATCACTGCAAGTATATCTGTTATCACCCAACAGCTGTTTTGTGTGTTAATAAAGCAATGATCACTTCTGTCATTTCATTTCCCTCTGACCTTACTATATTGGCAAAATCTAATTCAGCTAACACTCTAAACATCTGAGTTTATAATTTATATTATAATTTATATTTATATTATAATTTATATTATAATTTATATTTATATTATAATTTATATTATAATTTATATTATAATTTATCATAATAGAACCAAAGCTTTTACTGTAGGTGCAAGAGCACTTTTATTTATTTATTTTTAAAGAGAAAATGCTGCCATAGTCTAACACAGCTACTCTCTCAGAGAAGAAGGAGTGTATACTTCTAGACCAGTTTAAAATATCTCTTTTGCTTTTCACACAGGATAAAAAGTTAAGAACTATGTTTCTCAGCCTTAGCAACTCTAAGATCTGTGAACTTCAACTCCAGCCACCATATATCTTCTTCTGATGAAGGCCCTTCTTGATTCTTCCCTTCCAAAATATGAATGCACACCCAGCCTTATTATATCTTACGGAAAGGCTCTTTGTAACATCTGCCACAGAATGCAGGCACTTCATACTTTTGACGGCTCCAAGAGAATAAAAAAATAAAAATAAAAAAAACAACCACAAAAAATAGCAGCTTATACCTCTGCAAATCAAGCTGGATGATAAGAAGAGATGCCTGAAATCCAGAAAGATGGCTTTAAGGGTGCTCCTTACCTTCTTGTCCCTCATCTCATATTGCAGCTATATTTTGGTAAAAAGTAAGATAAATACAGCAATGGATTTATTTCTGCAGAATCATCTGCAAGCAGATTACAAGCTTACAGCCAATTTATCCCAAACTGATTAGTGTTAGTGATATTGCTTGCATTGTGATGTGAGAACTTTAGTTTCTGTTTCCTGTCACAAAACAGATATATTCCATAATGTTTCTCTCGCTCAAATCCCAACAGAGTTCTGTCCCTAAAGCCATTTTTTATTCATGCCTTATTAGGTAGCGCTTGGTTCTTCAATCAGTTGGGTGAAATAGCAAGCATAATATTGGAGATTGGCACTTCTTACTCTGTATGCCCTCTTGGGAACAGACTGACACTAGCATTTTAAAACAAATGTTTACTTAGTTGGTTCAAACACATCTCAGCATTACAGTACTTATTTCAATATCTTCACTAGCCTTAGCTTGTTTAATTCAAATACCTTGGTAGAAACTGCTCTTGGTTCCTTGGGTGGATGGGCCTTGCTTATTGGCCCTGCTTCTCAGTGAGTATGCCTATATAATTTATTTATTCTATTTGTATGCTGCTAGATCAATAAAGATTCATGCTGGGTTTACAGCAATCCAATAAAAACAATTAACTAGTCACCAAATGCTCTATGGAAGAGTTCCATCTTAAGCAGTTTCCAGAATGTTAAAGAAAGATGGTGTGAGCCTTAATTCCAAGGGATAGCTCTGCCATAAATCCAGAACAACTCAGAAACAGCTGTTCCTGGCTTTCATTCCTCTTACTTCACAAAAATGGGATCCAATCAAACAAATATACTGGAGGGGCCAGTAGGAGTAAATGCTCCTGTGGGTACTCACGCTCTCATAAATAAGAGTCTCCCTCTGGAAATCAGTTTTCTACCACCACATCCAATGCTTCTGGATTTCCATAAGCTCTTAACAACTATGTCAGACCCAGCAGCTGGGGACTGGGAAACTGTGAACATCCTGTACGTTCTCCTGCTTGGAAAGTCCCTCCTGCTGGAAGGGACCTTGGACTAGAAGACCTCCAAGGTCCCTTCCAACTCTATTCTATTCTAATTCTAAAGACTACTCCTAACACTGACAGGGGAAGCCACTGTTGATGTTACCTAGTTTGGATGATAAAACATCTAGTTTTATTAATAATAAATAAAACCTAGTTTGGATAAAGAAAACAACCAAGCTCAGAGAGCACCAAGGGCCTCTCAATTCTACTCTGAGCTACAAATATTATCTTCTACCTAATTGCTTCAGAGAATTGTCAAAGAATGAACTGACAACATCAGTTTTGGAACTATGCGTGGAGTTAGCTATTATTGTTTGACTTTCTTTGAGTTATTAAGTACTTTTAAAATTTCATGCTGTGGACATTTTATTGTTTTCCTTATCATTATGAATGACCAGGAATCCTTGGATTGTGGCAGACAGAAATCAATTCCATAAATAAATGCAATGTCTGCATAATAAAAAAAAGTAAATATTGAATACACCTATAGTGTTCCTTAAGTAGATATATAGGACAATATCTCTGTCTGGATTATCTCACAGAAAATTGGTAGGACTGGGAGATGGTGAAAAAAATACCCTGAGAATAGCCTTACATAAGATGGGCATGGTATTCCTTGAAGAAGCACTTGGCTTTGTGAAAATGATGCTATTCAGCATTATGTAGCTCCAAAACAATTCACCTTGTTGCTTTTAATTGATTCTGTGCATGAACACTGCTTGCCTTGAACATCCTTGTGGCTTCTGGAAGTGGTGGAGAATGTTATCTAGAATTTTAGAGATTGTATTAGAAATCTTCCAGCTCAGAGGAAGGGGAAAAATAAAGCAAAATAAATTATATGAAGAGAAACCGAATGAATCTGGAACATAAACTGGGAGTATTCTGTCAGAAATATCCATAAGGATATTACACAAAACAACAATCAAAACTCTATTGTCTCAAAATACAGGACCTGGGATAATAGACTTAGGCAAAGCCGATTCAGACTGAATGTCAGGATTAAAAGGACAAGGTAACTTTTTCCTAACAATGAGACTTTGACAATCTGATCAATTATCTAGTGACATTGTTGACTGCTCTACATTGGACATTTTCAAGTAGAGATTAGAAGCCGTCTGTCAAGGATACATGACCTGAACAGCAGTGGAGTATGATGGCCATCACATCTCCTTCTGATTTTATTTCTGACGATGGATATAGTTCTCTTAAGAACCTCTCTCCAAGGAAAATTACCTGTCTGACTTTGCATCCATTAACACCAATTTTCTGTCTGCCAAATGATTAATCAATGGTTTATCATTCAGATATGAAACTAATTCATTAACCATAATAGTCAAGAGGAAATTAAATGCACATATCCTGTGGGTTTCTTTGGTGAGGCTGAGGCTCTGCACAAAAGATCAGGCAGGGTAACTAAGTATAGCGTTAGAACAGCATGAACTCCATCTTCTCTGGCCCAGAAGAAAAGGGAGGGAAAAAAGCTTTGTTTGATTGGCAATGAAGCTTTTCTATTCTTGCAGGGTTTTTAAAAAAAACACCTTCCATTTGTTGTTGTTTTTAGGAGGCTGTATTGTTGCTTGGGAGAAAATGCTACCAAATCTTGTAACGATGAAGGAAAGGAGACTATTTGAAAGCCTAATAGTTAATGTATGTATGTATGTGTAAATTAGCTTTGGGAGATGGGTTGAAACGTTTCTTCCAAGTGCTTTGAATTCACAAGAGAAAAAAAAAAGGAAAAGAGCAAATAGTATTTATTTTTTTCCCCTTTTATTTGAGTTTCTGATCACACATAGCAAAAGTAGTGTCGTTTCCTGCTAAGGTTTGCAAATGCAATTTATAGCCAACTAATTGCCTGACTTTCCATTATGAGCAATGCTTCCTTTCTCTATTAATAAAACTGTCTGCTGTAGCTGCTTTAACCATTTCCTCTTTTCTGAACTCCAACTTTCAGCCTTCAGCAACTATAAGCAAATTATCTGCCTGCCTATCTATCTATCTATCTATCTATCTATCTATCTATCTATCTATCTATCTATTATCTTTCTTTTCTTTCTTTCATCTTTCTTATCCAGACATAAGTGCACTCTTATATTCTTAACCCTACCCAAGCTCTACTTTCTTTATATCCTATTGCAATTAAAAATTATTCTTGACAGTTAACTCTAGAGATAAAGAATGACTTATAGAGATTAATGAGCATATTTTCTCTATTTCTTTTTATCTCCTTATTTTCTGTCATCTCTAGGCACCCAAACTACAGTACAGTATATCCTCTATATCAGGGGTGTCAAACTCGCAACATCACATGACGTGTTGCAACATATCACAACTGTTTTTTTTTAATTGAAAATTTTTAAGTTTTACAAAAAAATTCCCTTCCCCAAACCCTCTCAACCCTCCCCTCCCCTCCCCTGACCTTTCCAGAGCTGAATACAGGCTTAATTAAAAAAAAAAATTAAAAAAATCTTAAGACACATATAAACCATAAACAAATCTAAATACATTAATTAAACAAATTATAAAATAGTTAACAACAACTATATTTAAAATAATACAAGAAGAAAGAAAAAAGAAACAGAAAAAGAAAAAATCAAATAAAAGAAGAAAAATAAAAAAATTAAAAAATGTCTATAAAATATCTTAAATTTTAAATATAAATTATTCAAAAACTAAATAATATTTTTTTATATCCAACTTATATTGTATAAAATCTATCCATTTTTTCCATACCAGGAGGTACTTCTCTTGCGATTGATCTTTCATCACAACTGTTTTTCCATTGCCGGCAATAGTGCAGTTTCACTATGATGCAACTGGCCCAAGGGCCAGCAGTTTTACACCCCTGCTCTACATTGATTTGTCAATGTTCTTGTTCCTTTTCTGGTTTTCAGTACACCTTCAACAGTGCCTAACAGTTCTCTTCAGCAGCACAAACTCTGCTTAATTTAACTCAGTTTTATGGGTCCCTTCTCTACATGTAACAACCTACCTTTAGCTGGCATTGGCCATCTACATTTGACTTGATTGCCAGCCATGCTTTGCATTCCCAAGTTTCTCCTTCTCAGAGTTCTCATTGAAGATGTTGAAAATTTCACCCTTTAATGCCAGCATTACATCTAATAGTCACAACATCCCATGTATAGTGTTGATGAAAATTATGTCCTAATTTAAAATGGTTGCTTTAACATTTATTATTTATTCTTGATTATT